GTCGGAAAACATGAAGCCAGAATGTGAGAGGTGCGCATCAGCCATTGATGCGAGTTCACGAGCACCATGGCATAGAAAGCAAAGCTAGAATTCAGGATGTAAAGGGTGACAAAGGCGACCACCAGCATCAGGATGGTGTGGGTGGCTCTGGTCTCAGGGGGGCATTTATGGTTACAGCGGGGGGTGTGGATGTGCCACAGTTTCTGACGGTGTCTCTGCAGGAGAAGCACCATGGAGCCACTGGCCCAGCTCATGAGGCCGATGAACGAGGCATCAGAGATGAACCACATGATGATAAAGCTCTTGGCAGGCCTCAAGGACGAGCAGAACCACCTGTCTTGGGCATCAGAATAGTTGCTTGTGCTTTGTGGCCCAGTGACTCTAAAGGGAATATAGATATTCATGAAGGCACTGAACATCCAGCAGATGCTACAGAAAAAAAAAACATCTCTGGGGGCTCCTTTTCTCACTGTTGGCCTGCCAGTGGTGAGAGTAACAAACTGATAGACACTCAGGACACAGGTGGAGCACAGGGTGGTGCTATGAGCTAAGATCTGAATATAATACACAAGTTTACATCCAAGACTGGACAGGGGGTTCCTATGAACAAACGCTGCCATGATGTGGGGAATTCCGGTGGAAAGAAGAACCAGGGAGTTGGCCAAGGCCAAGTGGGTGAGAATCACGTGTGTGGGCCTCCATCCAAGGCCAAGCACAACTGTGGAGACATTACAGAAGAAGAGAATGACATTGGCCAGAGTCCCAACCCCAAACTGGAAGAGAAAGATGGTTTTCAAAGCCACTTCTCCAGTGGTTTTTAGACTATTGCTCTGAAAAGACATGGTGAAGACTTCAGGGTGTCCAGGAGTGATGAGCAGCCTATGTCAACACACCGGGAATCTTCTCAGTTTTTATATCACCATATAGATTTATTTTGGGTCTTTCCAGATCCTGGAAATAGAGAACTGTCACATTTCAATGAGGGGCTCAAGCTGCAGAACATACCAGTGACCCCAATCACATGTATTGTCATTACAGCTTTGATTTGTTGCTATTAGTTCTATAACAGAATGTAAGGTCCATGAACATAGAAACTGTGCTTGCTTTGCTCCGCAATATGGCTGAAGTACAATAGGCGTTAAGTAAATGTGTCCTGAGTAGGCGAACAGGGAAAGGGGAAGACAAGGACAAGGATGGCCTGCACCACTTCAGAATCCATGATGATCTTGCCTGTCACAACACTGTATTAGCCTAAAAAAGAATTGAACATTTTCAACGATTTTCAAATTAGATCTTTGGTTCTAATACCCTGCAAGAGATTCAACAGTCGGCTTTTAAAATTTCGTAGTATTTTTAAATATAATATCATCTTGCCTTTGGTTCAGATCCCACACCTGGTGGTTGAAAAGCATGCCTGAGGAGTGTGTGTGATTGCTAAAAATCCTGACAGGGTGGGGAGTGAAAGAACTGTGGTGTGACTACGCCCCACTAGGGGTATGCTTTCTCCGCGCTTCCACCTCTTTCTTTTCCTCTCCATCTCGCTCTCTTTGGCAAGCACATGTGGCCTCTGGCAATGTTAAAACAAAAAGGAAAATCTATTCTCCCCTCCTGAGAGCTGTCTCTTCACTCTAATTATGGTTTCTTTTGCTGGGCAGAAGCGTTTTAACCTGATGTTATCGCACTTACCTGTTTTCTGAATTGTTGCCAGTGCTGTGGGGGCCTTATTTAAGGAGTCCGCCTACTGCAGTGTCTCCCAGTGCTCTCTCCCAGTAGTTTTATCATTTGAGCTTTTATGTTTAGGCCTTTGATCCCTTTTGAGTTGATTTTTGTTAACGCTGAGAGATAGGGATCCAGATTCATTTTCTAAAGGTGAATAGCTAGGTTTTCCAGCACCATTTTCTGAAGAGCTTTTCTTTTCCCTTCTGGATTTTCTGGTGATCTTTGTCAAACATCAGTTGGCTGTATGTTTTGGAATTTATTTCTGGGATCTCTTTTTTTTTTTTCTTTTTTTTTTTTAAAGAGGTTTTTGCTATAGGGCATGTGTGCTTGCCAGAAAGACAGAGAGAGATAGAGAGACAGAAAGCAAGAAATCACCCCTCAGGGGGGATGGCCACGCCACAATCCCTTCTCCTCCATTCTCCTCTCGGAATCTTGGGCACGCACGCACACGTGCCAGGCATGAGTTTAAGCCACTGGGTCTGGGACTCGAGCCTCGGTCGGCTACATGGGAGTCCAGTGACATTACCATATTTTGATTATCACAGCTTTGTAATATATTTTGGGGTCAAGGAGTGAGATGCCTCCTACTCCACATTTTTGTGCAGAATTACTTTGACAATATTGGGGTCTTTTATGATTCCAGACAAATTATGATTGTTTTTTTCTAAATCTATGAAGAATAACTCTGGTAATTTAGTCAGAATTGTATTAAATTTGTGGAAAAACAGGCTATTTGTGCTGGGAAAAAATATTTTCAATGTTGCAAAGATATATAGTGATTGAATGTAAAAACATACAAAAAGTAGTATAATAAAATAAGTAAAAAAGTCAAGATGAAAATATAAAAGTATCTTCATTATAGAATAAGAAAGTAATGTTTATTGCAAATCACAGAAATTCATATACGTATTAAAATCTTTGTTTTAAAAACTATTCAGTAAAATGAGAATATGTTTTTAAAAAGAAAATTTTAGCTGTTTATGGGCATTTGTGTTGGTTTCATGTCTTAGCAATTGTGAATAATGCTGCAATAAACATGGATGTGCAAGCATTTTTCTGATTAAGAATTCTTCTGTCCTTTGGGTAGATTCCAAGGAGTGGAATTGCTGGATCATGTGGTAGTTCTATTTGTAGGTCTTTGAGAAATCTCCCTGGCTTTTTACCAAAAGTGGATGAATATGGAAGATTTACTGCTGAGTGAAGCAAGCCAGGCTATGAAGGAGAGACATTGTATGTCTCCACTTAATATATACCGAGTGTCTGCACTCTATGGCCAAAACTGAATGACTAAAGGTTATAGAAACTTATTAAATGGTTGTGAATACCAGATACAGTGTGGGGAGAGGGTGGGTGCAGGAGTAGAGTCCGAGGAAAGACATTAAGGAGAAAAATAGAGAGGCAAGGCATTTATAGGACAAAAATAAATTATCATCTGTTGAAGATAACTTCGTAGTGTCAGCTGGACTGGTGAGAAATGTACGCAAGTTGGAATATTCACTTTGTGAGCTAAGTAACATGTGATTGAGTGTATAAAAGAAATTGAAAGAAAAAGAAAAATTTTTTAAAAATTTTAAAGTTTCTGAAAACTAATGAAAATACTAATACAACATGTTAAAACACAGGATTGTGTAAAAGCTGTACTAAGATGAAACTTACTAATAGGGTAAATAAAAACATTTCCAGTAAACATTGCAATGATAATTGTCAGAGAACTATTAGTAAGAAAGCGCGAATGAACTAGTCCAGAAATTAGCAAAATAAAAGCAGTAACCCAAATCAGATAAGAAATAAATGATATAGAGACCAAATGGCAATACGAAAGATCACTAGGAAAGGAAGATTTTTTAAAGACAAGCAGAATTGGCCACTCTTAGCTGTGCCAAGATAAACAGAGGAGTCACAAGTAAACGGAATCAGAGACGAAAAGAACCCTCACAACTGATGCCACAGAGTAGTAAAACATAGTTAGAGACTATTATGGTCAAGTGTACAGAATGAACTGAAAACGCTGATGAAATGGACAAACACAACCTGCCAGCATTAACCAGGAAGAGACGGGAAACGTGAATAGACCAGGATCGATGAGCGACACTGAGTTAGTAGTGAGTCTACCAACGAAGAGAAGCCCAAGATCAAACGGCTTCTGTGCTAAATTCTACAAAACCTTTAAAGAAGAATTGATAATATTCTGCCCAAATGACTCCAGGAAACCAAAGTGGAAGGAACCCTCCCAAATTCAGTCTATGAAGCCACATTACCTAATACCCAAACCAGAAAAGGACACAACACAAAAAGAAAACTGCAGACCAATGTCACTGATGAAGACACAGGTAAAATCCCAACAAAATATTAGCAAACCAGCTCCCAGACACATCAGAAGAATTAGACACATGATCAAGTACTCTTTATCCCAGGGATGCAAGGAGGGTTCAACATATGCAAATCCATAAACGTGATCCATCATTTCTACAAAATAAGTGACAAAACCATATGATCAGCCTAAAAGAAACAGAAGGAGCATTGGCTAAATTCAACATCCCTGTATGATAAAAATACGCAAAAATTAGCTATAGAAGAAACACATCTCAACACGATAAAGGCCATCTGTGACAAACCACAGGTACCGTCAACTGAATGGAGAAAACTGAAAGCTTTTTTCTCTAGACACTGGAATGGGACTAGGAGGTCCACTCTCACCACTTTTGTTCCAGATAGCATCTGAAGTCCAAGGCAGAGCAATAGGACGAGAGGAATAAATAAGGTGCATCTAAACTGCAGAGGAGAGAGTAAAGCTGCCCTGTCTGCAATGTGGTCTCACACAGAGAAAATGCTAAAGGTTGCACCAAAAGACTCAGAACTTACAACAAAAAATTCAGTAAAGTTGCAAGATAAAAATAAGTAGCATTTTATACATCAACCTCACCAGGAAATTGAAAATCCTATTTGCAATAGCTATAAAGAGCTGAACAAACAATTCTCTAAGGAAGACACGAACAGCCAAAAAGCTTATGAAAAAACGCTCAACATCCCTCATTGTAAGGGAGATGCAGATCAAAACCACAATGAGATGCCACATAACCCCAGTCAGAATGGTGAAGATTAAAAAAAAAAAACCAAGTAATGATAAGAGCTGGAGGGGATGCGGTGAAAGGGGATTCCTCCTACACTGTTGGTGGGAATTAAAATTGGTCCAGCCACTGTGGAGAACAATATGGAGGTTCCTCAAAAAACTTCACATAGAACTACCATATGATCCAGCAATCCCACTCCTGGGTATCTTCCCAAAGGACAAGAGAGCACTCAGTCAGAAAAGCGCTTGCATGACTATTTTCATTGCAGCATTATTCACAATTGCTAAGACATGGAACCAAACCAAATGTCCATAAACAGATGAATGGATTGAAAAATTATGGCACATATGCTCCATGGAGCACTATTCAGCCATAAAAAGTGACAAGGCCCTGGAATTCAATAGAAAGTGGATGAATATGGAAGATTTGTCGCAGAGTGAAGCAAATCACCATGAAAGAGACACTGTGTGTCTCCACTTAACATACACCGACTGTCCGCACTCTATGGTAGAGACTGGAAGACTGGAGAACATAAAGGCATTGAAAATTGTACTGGACCCTGGAGACGAAGTGGAAAGAGAGTGTGGGGGGAGAGCACGGAAAGGACATTGGGTGGGGTGGAGAGGTAAGACACTTGCGGACAGATAAGGTTTATTGTCCGTTGACGAGGGTGTGCGTAATAGTCTCGACTGGGCTGGACGGAGGTGTGTATCACGCCGGGTAAAGCCTCTTCACAATCTAAATGATGTAGAGCAATTTAATGTATGAATGATAATTTTAAAAATTAATAAAAAAATAAAAGAAACATTTCTCAGGAAAGACATACGAATCCCAAGAAGCATATGAAAAAAAAATGCTCAGCGTCACTGATCGATTAGGAAACAACCGATTTCAAACACAATGCGATGTTATCTTAGCCCGGTTGGAAGGGCATTAGTGCAGGTACTGCAGAGAAGAGTAAGGAGGGGCCTCAGAAAAGAGAAGCAGCAGATTCCTGCTCTGATGCCGTCCTGGCAGAGCAGTGTCGACATCTCCCTGCCGATCAGGGCAGG